TCCCTGTGATAACCAGGCTCAAGTACATAAAACTCATGAAAGGTTGGAGCTCCCCTAGGACTGGCCCTCCTGGACTTTTTAACTCTCAAACATATCTACACTGATCCTCCAACAATTCATTAATTATAGATTAGGTTTTTCCTACCCTGGTACTGGTTACCCATGAAGTTTTCTGCTCCTGGATTTCTGCTCTGATAACTTGTGATTCTCTTTATCTGTCTGTTTGACTCTCCAGTTTTGGGAACAGTTGTTTGCCCTGTGACCTCAGTTATCTGATGGATCTAAAAGGAGTTATTGATTTTCAGTGTGTTCAGCTTTTTCATGTGTTGAATAGGAGAGATGACTTCCAAGTTCCTTACATGGGTTAGAAACCAGGAAGTCCCTTCATTGTTTTTTTCTTTTAAATATATTTTATTGATTTTTTACAGAGAGGAAGGGAGAGAGATAGAGAGCTAGAAACATCGATCAGCTGCCTCCTGCACATCTCCTACTGGGGATGTGCCCGCAACCCAGGTACATGCCCTTGACTGGAATCGAACCTGGGACCTTTCAGTCCACAGGCTGACGCTCTATCCACTGAGCCAAACCGGTTTCGGCAGCCCTTCATTTTTTTTGTTTTACTCTATATAATTAAGTAGCTCAAGTATGACAACTCCTTTAGCTTATGTAACTCTTAAATTACTAGAAAGTTCACCCCAATCAATTTAATAACTTAAAAAATTAAAAATATACTAGCTAATAAAATATAAATGAATAAATACATAAATTACTAGAAAGTTACACAAAACACACACTATGTTTTTAGCTGCTTGCACAAAACTTTTATAGAAGTGCAGTCTAATATAACAGTTAATTGATAGTTGTGTAAGCATTTTCATATAATTTCTTTTGGTAAGTCTATGCTTTAGCCTTTTCACTGTCAGTTATAAAATAAGTCATATAATAAATCCCCTCCTAATATTGTATTAAATAATATGACTCTGCTAATAACCTATATATTGCATTTAATTAGATGATGATTGCTCTTTAACATTATATTTCCCTGTTTCTTTACCTTCTTGGAAGCTCAAAAATAAGTTTAGGTTCTCAATTACAATTAGTTCTCCTACCCCATCCTCTTTCTCCATTCACCATTTATTTTAGTTGTGATTTCATTACGTATCTTTTTTTTATTAAAACTTTCATGTCTATTTAAAAGTAGGTTATATAAATAATATATTAACTTTGCTCAAGTATTGCCTGATAGAGTTTTAAGTTTTATGCTGCTGCTCCGCCTTTTTTCCTGCTTCATACTCACTATCATTCTCTCCTTTACTCTATAGACTTCTCTTGACCATGCTGTAAATTATTAATTTCATGGCTTATTCATAATAAATTATTTGTTCCAGACATACTTTCTCTTGTCACCCTTTTTACTTTATGGTTCCTCTGAGTTCTTTTGCTATTTTAATATTAACCCAAGCCAGACCATTAAGAATGTACTCTAGCCGAGACCGGTTTGGCTCGGTGGATAGAGCGTCGGCCTGCGGACTGAAGGGTCCCGGGTTCGATTCCGGTCAAGGGCATGTACCTGGGTTGCGGGCACATCCCCAGTGGGAGATGTGCAGGAGGCAGCTGATCGATGTTTCTCTCTCATCGATGTTTCTGACTCTCTATCTCTCTCCCTTCCTCTCTGTTAAAAATCAATAAAATATATTAAAAAAAAAAAGAATGTACTCTATCTAGAAAAGTTAATTGAAAAAGTTTCATAAAGCTAAATGATAAAATGAACTGTAATTGTATATACCTATGCTTTTATTATTTAAAGTAGATCATTGAGGGCATATATTCTTAGAAAAATATTTTGAATTATACTAAATTTTACAAATCTTTGAAGACTTAATTTATCAATATTCCTCTATTGGGAGTACACCTTTATCTAATATATTACTTTAATGATTTTGTAATATAATATCAAATTTATCAAACTAATTACCAGAATGTGATAGTTTTGGTTAACTAATATCCCACTGTATTATGCTTTTTTATTCAAAAGTTAACATGATTGAATTTATAGTTCAGTTTAGATCTTATTCATAAACATTTAATAATTTGGTTTGGGAGACAGTATGAATACATAATGGAAAAATTAGCAAGACTAGATAGTATATTAAGTGTTGCATAAATAATGTAGGCAATACAGAAATTTAGAAATGGCTAAATTTCTGTGTTAGTTAGGAAAGACTCATGGAGGAGATAGAAATTGAATTAGATGATGGAGGATAAGACTTAGATAAGAATAGAAAAATGGGCTATGAATTGTGGATAGGCCCTCTTTATGGATCTATTTTAATGCTGCTTGACTTACGTCAGACTCATTTTGATATAAACAGGAAATGGAAATGAAAACCATGTTGAGGTGTCATTTATATCTATTGGATTTATAAAAATTAACAACCTTGAGTCAAGTGTTGTTGCAAATGTGGAGCTGTTGAGAATTCTTGAAGTGCATCTAGCCTATGACCTAGCACTTTCACCTGTGAACATATATAATCTAGAGCAATGTTTTTCAACCTTTTTTAATATGATCCCCACATAGAAAAATATTATTTTAATTTATGAGTCAGTATACACTCATAAAATAAATGTTTTATATAATAATAGATATCCTTCTATGTCTATTAAAAGTAAAAATGTAACAAAGTTGATATTAAATATGACTTTTATAACATTTGCACAAAATAGAAATTACAAATTAAACTCTGCAAAAAAATAGGAGATATTTCATTTAATATATAAAGTGTGTCTGCTTCTTTCATAAGTATATTCTTATGGGCATAGTTTTTGGTAAGAATTTGAGCATATCACTTTGATATTTTTATTGTATTCTATTCCACTTAAAAATGCTGATTATGATGACCCATTACTAGATTACAATTGATTTAATTACCCATTACTAGATTACGATCTGTAATGTAAATTGAGCAAAAATAGCATGCCACAGAATATGTGTAGTATGGTTTAATTTATATAAAGTTCAAAAATAAGCTAAACTGTGTAATACAGTTTAAATAGGGATACGTATTTAAATAAATGTATACATACACATTGAATAATTATAAAGGCAGTGGTTATTAAAATACATTTCATTTTCAAAATTGAGCTATCAGCTGTTAAAGTGTGTATACATTTTTGGGAGACTATGTATATGTCTTCAAACTATAAGGAAAAGCAAGAGAACAGTGAGAACCAAAGTTTCAGGACAATGCTTACCCCTGTAAGAGGATCAGGGGACATACTAGTACATGAGCCTTCAAAGATAATGATAAAGTTGTCTTTTTCAATTGGTAGTTATGGATACAGGGCTGCTCTTTTTATTGTTTCTTAATACCTTACACACTTATGGATTATTTTTCTATATACAGTTATGTATCACATAATAACCTTTAGGTCAGTGGAGGACCACATATACTACAGTGGTCCCATATGATTGTAATGGAGCTGAAAAATTCCTATTGCCTAGAAATTTTATCATAGACATCATACTGTGGTAGCACAGCACATTGCGTGTTTCTGGTCATTCTCGTGTAAACAAACTTACTGTACTGAGATTCATATAAAGGTATATAGTACATACAATTACAGTGGTAGGCCATTCCATATAAGTTTGTGTAAGTATATTCTATGATATTTACACAAAAATAAAATCGCCTAATGGTGCATTTTTCAGAACATATTTCTATTATTAAGTTGTCCATTACTGTATTTAGTGTTTAAAATACTTTTAAGTAGAAGTAAAAGAAAATCACTTTACATTATAGTTTTAAGAAATTAGAATATAGGAAATACCCTCATTTTATTCCTTAGACTCACATTTTTCATTCTACCCCTGATTCTTACTTTAAGTTCATCCCTAAGTCCTTTAGATAGTGTTTATTATCAGTAAATATGGAAGTGCAAAATAAATTGAGATTTAGGGATCATATGACCATCAGTGATAGATCAGTGATGGAAAAAAGGTTAGAGGTTTCTACTGAATATATTACTTAATATGAAAACAATGTGCTGATATCTTGGTTGAAAGGCAGATGGAGCTTGAAGGAAGGATGATGTTAAGAATGACTTGGAGGCTTTAAAAAAATGTGTATAGCCAGATAATAGGATTTAATAACTATTAGTTGAAAAAATGGATGGATTGACAAAAGTTGAAGAAGTTTAAGAAAGAGATAGTATCAGAATATGGATTTCATTTGTATCATGTTAGTTTGAGGTGATAGCAGATAATCCAAGTGGAGGTATTGTATAGAAAGTTGAAAATGTGGGTTGGTGATTAGGAGAGAGTCAGGGCTGGATTATAAATTATGTAGTCCTTTCAAACATCGATGAGACCATAAGCTATGAGGGTGGGTACATTTTCTGAGAGAAAAGCTATAAGGAGAGAAGTGGGAAACTAAGAATTGAGTCACGGATACATCCTTCAGTTCAGTATCATTTTGATATCTCTGGCTGGTAAGAAGAATATTCAGTTAAAATTGTGAATTTTTAAATATTCTGAATATTCTTTCTATGGAGCAAGATATTTTTGGTACCAAATCAAACATGCCGTTTTTATTCTTTTAAATTATTTACACCTTCAAAAAAAACTGTAATTGTTTCATTTAAACATATTTTCTTTCAAATGATACTCAAAAGGGTAATACTTACTTTAGTTAATATGCATTTTCCTAATTAGAATATTTTGTTTTTCTCTTATTCACACCTAAATCCTAAAAGTTTGCTTTCTGATTGTGGCTTAATATTTTGTATCTAGTTTTTATGTGGTCTATGTTTTAAACTAATAAATAGATGCTGTACTTGGAGTTTACTTAAAAACCTGTGGGCATATCACAGGAAGAAAATGAGCATTGTTATTATGAAAGCTAGTTAATCCTTACATTTTAATTAAGGTCTGAATCGTTTTAGATGACATAAATTTTTCTTAGAAAAACCAGCTCACCAATAACTGATTTCTTTTTTTAAAGAGAGAATCAGGACTAAAACAGGACATAAATGACCTTGTAAAGCGGAAGATTGCAGTAGATGAAGAAAATGCTTTCTTAAGGAAAGAATTCAGTGACTTGCAGAAGAAATTTAAAGATAAAAGGCAAGAAGTTAAGGTGTGTTGACTTGTACATTGTTTTACAGTACTATTACTTTGAAGTTCTACTTTAAGCTTTGTCAGCTTTTGTGGCACAGAAAGTGACAACTTTGGAGGAAAAATTGCCTGAGGCTCTGATGTACCACAGTTTTCTCACATTCAAAAACTCTGAGAAAGATGCTTTAAAGCTAAGACTCCAAGCTTGATAACTTTCAGATAAATAGTTAATGATGGAAATGGAGCTAAGAAAGTAGGAGTGTGAATATGTGGCTTCTTGTAATTAGATTCTGATGGGACTGGCATTATTAATTGATAAAACCCTGGGAGTATATGTCTGTATGAGTCTCAAAAATAGCTGGGGACAGCATCAAAGGCAGCTTGATCAATTAATGGTCTCTTTGCAAATGTGTACTCATCAAAGCTGTCATCCAGTGAAAAAATATGATCTATCAACCTGCATGAAAAGAGGCCAATAAAAGTATGCAGGTGACCTTGGCTATCAAATATAGAAGAAGCTGCTGTGAGGGTAAAACTGCACAGTTTATATTTGCTGATTAGTGCTCACCATTTTTTTTTTTTTATCGGCCCTATGGCACTGTTCTGTAGGACAGTAAAGAGTGTATACAGAATAAGGAAGAACAAAACAGACTGGTTATAAAAGACCTGGAAGAGGAAAATGAGAAATTAAGTACCCGCTGTGTTGACCTGCTAAATGACCTGGAGAGACTGAGGAAGCAGGAAGCTCATTGGAAAAAAGAAAAATATAGCATTGATGCAAAAATAAAGGTATGCAATCAGAATGGAATTGACCCTGTGATTTTGGACCTAACTTCTCACGGGAAGTTTATTATATGTTATTTTCTTTAAATAGCAAGTTATATAGTCAAATCCAGCAATGGGACTAGTATTAATTTATATTCCTTCACTTAAGACCCACAGCTTTTTAAAAATTGATGTTGCAAAGCAGGAAACTGACTTCAAATATTTATCTATAATATAATCACTAAAAATAAATGATATTGCATTTTGAAAGAAAACATGTTTTAGAAATATTAGTATCATGAATTTTTACTCTTTTCAGTTAGAGCTTAAATTTATAGATAAAGGCTAGAATTCATTGGAATATAGCTTTAAAACTATTTTCAAGGCCTTTAAAAAAGTTAAAAAAGCACAAGACAGTTAAAAAAATACTCATATGAGTTTTGAAGATGGTGTTTCTTTGGCTTAAGAGGGCCTACTCATAGTAAAATCTTATTTTATAGAATATATAGGTGCAATCAGTCTTTATAATATTCTTACACTCTTTTGATCAGTATTTTTCAAAATAATATGTTTTTGTGACTTTCTTGGTCTTGGGAATGTTATGTTCATTTTTCCCCATCAAATGTTAGGTTTTTCTTTTCCCCAGATTTTGTTGAAAAGGCCAGAAATGTATTTTAGTGCTAGCAAATATGATAGTCCCTTTATGTATACACACATAAAAAAGAATATATAAAAACACACATATATATTTATTTTTTTCTTTTCAGCATTTTTCCCAACTGTCTTGGTTCTAAAAATTTGTACATTATCTGAAATTTTCTAAGTCATATAATTATATGCTGCTTCTTTCCTCTCTAAAATATTAATTGACATGTAATTTACATATCTTGTATTGAATCCATTTAAGTGTACAGTTCAGTAGTTTTAGTTTATGCATAGTTGAGCAACTATTGCCACAATTAATTTGAAATCATTTTCATCATCCCCAAAAGAAATCCTGTAACCTTAAGCAATCACTACTCATTTATCCTTAGCTCCACAAAGGATTAGTAGATAACCACTAATCTACTTTCTTTCTCTATAGATTTTTCTATTCTAACTAAAATCATAGTATGTGATCTTTTGTGACTGACTTCTGCCACTTAGAATAATGTTTTCAGGATTTATCCATGGTGTAGCATGTATTGGTGCTTCATCCTTTTTTATTGTTGATTGATATTCCATCTTATAGATATTCAACATTTTATTTATCACTAGTATATGGACACTTGTGTTATGAATAATGCTGCTCTGAACATTTGTATACAATATTTTGTATGTACATACATATATCTTAATTTTTCTTAGGTACATAACAAGAAATGAGATCACTGAGCCTTAGTGTAACTCTGTCCTTAAGTTTTAGAGGAAATGTCAGATTGTTTTCAAAAGCAGCTGCACCAAAACAATGATAACTATTTGTGTATTGTTGATAATTTTAGGGTTCAGGAGAATTTATCAGCTTACTTTTAAAAAGAGGTAGTATATGGACTGTTTCTTGAAATTCTTGGAGTAGAAAGGAAACAGTGGCTTTCTGGTCTCATTACTCAACCTGCATCCACCTGTCATTTACATTTTGCTCATTGTTGGAAGTTGGTACTAATTAAAATGTTTATCAATACAGATGTTTAAAAAAAAAGCAGCTGCACCATTTTACATGCTGAGCAGCAGTGTATGAGGGTTCTGATTTCTCTGCCATCCTCAACATTTGTTGACTTGTCTTTTTAAATTTTATTTATTTTTTATTATTTTTAATCTTCACCTGAGGATATGATCATTGATTGTACAGAAAAGGGAAGGAAGAAGGAGAGTGTGAGAGAGAGAGGGAGAGAGAAAGGTGAGAGAGAACATTGATTGGTTTCCTCCCATTTGCAGTCAGATTGAGGATCGAACCCACAACCTAGGTATGTGCTCTGACTGGGAATTGAACCCACAACCCTCCCATGTATGGGACGATGCTCCAATCAACTGAGCTTCATTGGCCAGGGCGACTTGTCTGTATTTTTGTTTTTTCTAATATATTTATTTATTTATTTATTTATTTTAATCCTCACCTGAGGATATTTTCCCATTGACTTTTAGAGAGAGTGGAAGGGACAGAGGGAGAGGAGAGAGAGAGAGAGAGAGAGAGAGAGAGAGAGAGAGAGAGAGAGAGAGAGAAAGAGAAACATTGGTATAAGAGAGACACTTTGATTGCTTGCCTCCTGCATGTGCCCTGACCAGGGCCAGGATTGAACCTGCAACACAGGCACATGCCCTTGACTGGGAATCGAACTTAGGACTTTTAGGTGTGCAGTCTGATGCTCTAACCACTGAGAACACTGGCCAGGGGAGGTCATGTCTATTTAATTATAGTCTTCCTTGTGGATACAAAATGGCTTCTCAATGGGTTTTGATTGTATTCCCTGATGTTGAACATCTTTTCATATGTATTGGCCATTGTATGTTTTTTGAATAAATGTGTATATCTTTGGAAAAATGTGTGTTCATTTCTTTTGCTTATATTCTGGATACAAGTCTCCTTTTAGCTATACAATTCTCAAGTTTTTTTTTCTTCTGTAATAATATTATTTCAAGCACAAAAATTTTAACTTTTGATGATACTGAATTTATCAACATTTTGTTCCCTGTGTTTTTTGTGTCATATCAGAGAAACTGTTGACTGAGCCAAGATCATGAAAGTGGACATATATATTTATCTTCAGTAGCATACACAATTTTTCTCCTATATTGCTCTTTCCCTTCATGTTATTTTTATGTTACTAGAGGCCCGGTGCACGAAATTCATGCACAGGGCAAGGTGTGTTTTCCTCAGCCCAGCCTGCACCCTCTCCAATCTGGGACCCTCGAGGGATGTCCGACTGCCCGTTTAGGTCCGATTCCACTTGGGATCCGACCTAAACGGGCAGTCGAAGTGGGATCGGACCTAAACGGGCAGTCGGACATCCCTCTCACAATCCAGGACTGTTGGCTCCCAACTGCCTGCCTGCCTGCCTGCCTGATTGCCCCTAACCACTCCCCTGCCAGCCTGATCGACACTTAACTGCTCCTATGCCGGCCTGATTGCCCCTAACTGCCCTCCCCTGCCAGCCTGGTCACCCCTAACTGCCCTCCCCTGCTGGCCTGGTTGCCCCTAATTGCTCTCCCTTGCAGGCCTGGTCCTCCCTAACTACCCTCCCCTACAGGCCTGGTCCCCCCCAACTGCCCTCCCCTGCAGACCAGGTTCCCCCCAACTGCCCTCCCCTGCAGGCCTGGACACCCCTAACTGCCCTCCCCTGCAGGCCTGGTCACTCCTAACTGCCCTACCCTGCAGGCCTGGGTCCCCCCAACTGCCCTTCCCTGCAGGCCTGGTCCCCCCAACTGCCCTCCCCTGCAGGCCTGGTCCCCCAACTGCCCTACCCTGCAGGCCTGATTGCCCGCAACTGCTCTCCCCTGCTGGCCATCTTGTGTCCACATGGGAGCGGCCATGTTGTGTGTTGGAGTGATAGTCAATTTGCATATTACTCTTTTTTTAGTAAAATTGTGTGCCCTGTAGCATAGATTAGTAATTTTTATTTGCTTGTCATTTAATCATGTAGGAAATAAAAAGCAGTTACCAAATATGCAGTAATATTGGCTTTTATATTTCCCCACATATTTTCCTTTATTGGAGTCTCTGTTTCTTCATATGGCTTTCAGTCACTGTTTTGCATCCTTTTATTTCAATCTAAATGATTAGCATCTCTCCTAAGACAGATCCAGCTCCATCAGCTTTTGCTTATCTATAAATACCTTAATTACTCTCTAAATTTTGAAAACACTTATGCTGGGTATAAAATTCAATGTCATCAATTCTTTTCTTTTATATCATTAAATATGTCGTTCCACTGCCTCCTGCTTCTATGAATTTTTATTATAAATCAGCTATTAATCTCATTAATGTCCCTTGTATATGACAAGTAACTCTCTGTTGTTGCTTTCAAGATTCTCTCTTTGCTTTTAGTTGTATTTCAAAGTTTTATTACAGTGTATCTCAATATGGGTGTCTTTCTATTGATCTTACTTCGAGTTCATTGAGGTCTTTAGGTTTTTATATGCAAATCTCATATCAAAGTTGGGAAGTGTTTGGTCATTATTTTTTCAAATCTTATTTTTTTTGCTGTTTTCTGTCTCATCTTTTGGGACTCCTATAATGTGTATGTTGATTTTCTTAATGGTGCTCCACTGACCCCATAAGAACTATTCATTTTTCATTTTTCCTTCTTCTCAAAATCAATAATTTCACAGGTTATATCTCTATTTTACTGATTCTTTCTTCTATCTGCTTATATTTGTTGTTGAACCCTCTGGTGTATTGTTCACATTTTGTTATTTTACATTTTAACAACAAAATTTGATTCTATTTTTTTAAAATTCTTTATTCTTTAAAGTATTACATAAGTCTTCTTTTCCCCCAATTGACCTCTCCCCAGCCACTCCCACTCTCAAGCACATACCCTCACTCCCCTGCTGTCTGTGTCTATTGCTTATGCTCATATGCATCCATACAAGTCCTTTGCTTGATCTGTTACTCTCCCTTCCCCCATCCTACTCACTTAGGTTTGACGGTCTGTTCGATGCTTCTATGTCTCTGGCTCTATTTTGTTCATCAGTTTATGTTGTTCATTATAGTCCACAAATGAGTGAGATCTTGTGATATTTATCTTTCTCTGACTGGCTTATTTCGCTTAGCATAATGCTCTCCAGTTCCATCCATGCTGTTGCGAATGGTAAGAATTCCTTCTTTTTTACAGTAGCATAGTATTCTATTGTGTAGATTTACCACTGTTTTCTAATCCACTCATCTGCTGACAGGCACTTATGCTGATTCCAAATCTTAGCTATTGTAAATTGTGCTGCTATGAACATAGAGGTGCATATGTCCTTTCTGTGGGTGTTGCTGTTTTCTTGGGATATATTCCTAGAAGTGGGATCACGGGGTCAAATGGGAGTTCCATTTTTAATTTTTTGAGGAAACTCCATACTGTTTTCCACAAAGGCTGCATCAGTCTGCATTCCCACCAGCATTGCATGAGGGTTCCTTCTTCTCTGCATCCTCGCCAGCACTTATCATTTGTTGACTTGCTGATGATAGCCATTCTGACAGGTGTGAGATGGTACCTCATTGTTGTTTTGATTTTCTCTCTCTGAAGATTAATGACTTTGAACATATTTTCATATGTTTCTTGGCCTTCTGTATGTCCTCTTTCGAAAAGTGTCTATTTAGGTCTATGACCTTTTTTTTTTTATTGGATTATTTATCTTCCTTTTGTTAAGTTGTATGAGTTCCTTATAAATTTTGGAGCTTAAACCTTTATCTGAAATAGCATTGGCAAATATGTTCTCCCTTGCAGTGGGCTTTCTTGTTGTTTTGTTGATGGTTTCTTTTGCTGTGCAGAAGCTTTTTATCTTGATGTATTCCCATTTGTTTGTTTTCTCCTTAGTTTCCATTGTCCTAGAGCTGTAATGGTAAAGATCTTGCTATGACATATGTCTGCTATTTTGCCGCCAATGGCTTCTAAGATTTCTATGGTTTCCCATCTTATATTTAAACTCTTTATCCATTTTGAATTTGTTTTTGTGTATGGTGTAATTTGGTGACTAGTTTCTTTTCTTTTTTCTTTTTTTTTTTTTTTTGCATGTATCTGTCCAATTTTCCCAACACCATTTATTGAAGAGACTGTCTTGACTCCACTGTATGCTGTTGCCTCCTTTGTCAAATATTAATTGAGCATAATGGCTTGGGTCTGTTTCTGGATTCTCTGTTCTGTTCCATTGGTCTATATGTCTGTTCTTGTGCCAGTACCAGGCAATTTTGAGAACCATGGCTTTGTAATATAGCTTGATATCTGGTATTGTGATCCCTCCAATTTTGTTCTTCTTTCTCAGGATTTCTGTGGCTATTTGGGGTCTTTTTTATTCCAGATTAATTTTTGGAGAGTTTGTTCTAGGTCTGTGAAATATGCCATTAGTATTTTAATGGGGATTGCATTGAATCCATAGATTGCTTTGGGTAGTATGGACATTTTAATGATGTTGATTCTTCCAATCCATGAACACGGTATGTTCTTCCATTTGTTTATGTCTTCCTCTATCTCTTTTTTCAGCATCCTATAGTTTTTTGAGTACAGGTCCTTTACCTCTTTGGTTAAAATTATTCCTCTGTATCTTAATTTTTTTGTTGCAATGGTAAATGGAATGTTTTTTTTTTAGTTTCTCTTTCTGTGAGTTCATTATTGGTGTATAAAAGAGCCATAGATTTCTGGGTGTTAATTTTGTATCCTGCTACATTGCCAGACTCACTTATTAAGTCTAGTATTTTGATCGAGTCTTTAGGGTTTTCTATGTACAGTGTCATACAATATCATATCATCTGTGAATAATGACAGTTTTACTTCTTTTCCAATTTTAATGCCTTTTATTTCTTCTTCATGTCCGATAGCTTTGGCTAGCACTTCCAGTACTGTGTTGAACTGGATTAGTGAGAGTGGGCATCCCTGTCTTGTTCCTGTTCTTAGGATGGTTTTATTTTTAGCCCATTAGGTATGATGTTGGCTGTAGGTTTGTCATATATGGCTTTTATTATGTTGAGGTATGATCCCTCTATTCCCACTTTGCTGAGAGTTTTTATCAGGAAAGGATGTTGGATTTTGTCAAATGTTTTTTGTGCATCAATTGATATGACTATGTGATTTTTGTCTCTCAATTTGTTTATGTGATGCATCATGTGTATTGATTTGTGGATATTGTACCATCCTTGCATCCCGGAATAAATCCCACTTGGTCATGGTGTATGATCTTTCTAATGTAATGCTGGATCTGATTTGCTAGAATTTTATTGAGGACTTTAGCATCTATGTTCATCAAGGATATTGGCCTGTAGTTCTCTTCTTTGTGGTGTTTTATCTGGTTTTGGTATGAGGGTGATGCTGGCTTCATTGAAAGAGCTTGGTAGTGTGCCTTCCTCTTGAAATTTTTGGAGTAGTCTGAGGAGGATAGGTTTTAGTTTTTTGAATGCTTGGTAGAACTCACCTGTAAAGTCATCCGGACCAAGGCTTTTGTTTGCTCGAAGTTTTTTTGATAATTGTTTCAATTTCATCAGTAGTTATAAGCTTATTCTGTTTTTTTTTTATTCTTCTTGATTGAGTTTTGGAAGCTTGTATTTTTTAGGAATATATCCATTTCGTCTAGGTTGTCCAGTTTGCTGGAAGAGTTGTTCGTGGCATTTTTTTTTTTTTTTTTATAATCCTTTGTCTTTCTGTGGGGTCAGTTGTTATTTCACCTCTTTCATTTCTGATTTTTTTTTATTTGGGTCCTCTCTCTTTGTTTCATGGTGAGCCTGGCTAGAGGTTCATCAATCTTGTTTATCCTTTCAAAGAATGAGCTCTAAGTTTCATTGATCTTTTGTATTGTTTTTTTGGTCTCCATGTTGTTTATTTCCTTTCTGGTCTTTATTATTTCCTTCCTTCTGCTCACTCTGAGCTTTTCTCATTGTTCTCTCTTTCTGGTTCTTTAAGTTATACAGTTAGATAATTTATTACCATTTTTTCTTGTTTTTTGAGGTAGGCCTGTAGAACTATGAACTTTCCTCTCAGAACTGCTTTCACTGTGTCCCATAGATTTTGGATTGGTGTGTTTTCATTATCATTTGTTGCCATGATGCTTTTAATTTCTTCTTTGATCTCTTTGGTAACCCAATCATTGTTTAATAGCATGCTATTTAGCCTCCACGTGTTTAATTTCTTTCATTGTTTTTATTGTAGTTGATTTCTAATTTTATGCCATTATGATCTGAGAAGATGCTTGATATGATTTCTATCTTCTTGAATTTGAAGAGACTTTGCCTGTGTCCTAATATGTGGTCTGTCTTTGAAAATGTCCCGTGTGCACTTGAGAATAATGTGTATTCTGAGCTTTGCGGTAAATTCTTTTTTAAAAAAAATAAACAAAAAAACAACAACTTTGTTGTTGAAAGTATTACATATGTCTTCCTTTTTCCCCATTGACCTCTGCCAGTATTTTTTTTTTTTAAGATTACTGTAGCTTTGGCTGCATTGCTCAGTTGGTTGAAGCATCGTCCAGTAAACTAAAAAGGATGTGGGTTTGATTTCATTCAGGGCACATACCTACATTGTGGGTTCCATCCTGGTTGGGGTACGTACAGGAGGCAACTGATGTCTCTCGCTTCTCTCTCTCTCTCTCTCTCTCTCTCTCTCTCTCTCTCTCTCTCTCTCTCTCTCTTTCTCCCTCCCTCCCTCTCTCCCCTCCTTCCTCTTTCTTTTTTCCTATCTGCCCCTCCCTCCCCCTCTCTCTAAAAAAAATCAATAAATGTGTTCTCAGGTGAGGATTAAAAAAAATTTATTCTAGCTACTGTAGGGTGAATCTAAGAGCATTGGGAGCTTGGCTAGGGTAGATTTCTAAAGCCTGGTGTTCACTTTAGAAATAATGATTGTATGTTGTTTGTGTGGGCATACTGTATTATTAGATATAAAATTCATTTAATACTTTGTGAAAATAATTAAAATTATAACATATTTTTGAGAAAATTATCTTTGAAAAGATAACATTAGGTTTTAAATAGTTTCAAAATGGAAGAAGATTTAGAGCACTATTAGCATGAAAAGGCCAACTTCGAAGAACTATAGGTGAAATTTCACTACAATCAAGAGAACTCAGCATGATCTCAGTCTCAAACATTATAAAATTATTTTGATATCCTTTTTGCAGTACTATCTTTTCTTCTCTGAGTGCATTTATGTGTGGGCAGTTAACATAGAGTAAATAATGAAATATCTGCCATTTTTCTTGGTTAATATTTAAGTAAATGAGTTCATTTTTTGTTCATGTAATTAAATTTTTTATTGTATGATAATTTCTTTATTTTAATTTTAATAAGTAAATTCCTACCTAGAATTTCAAGTTTATTTGTTTCAAATCATTAACTTTCATACAAGGAAGCCAGGATACTTTTTCAGAGTCTGAAAAAAGCGTCTGTGACTACTATAAACGTAATTGCATCTACTAAATTTCTTAAAGTAAAAACAAACAAACGAAAAAACATTGAAAACACTACTTATTTTCACTGTCATTTTGTAAACTAATTAGTTAACTGTGCCAGACATTTTATTTCTTCTTATTTGATATTATATTAGACTTTTATATGTGTTCTAATTTCAGGCCTTTGAAGACAATTTAATGGAAGCAAGGAAAGAAATTGAAGTTTCACAGAGTAAATACAATGCTCTCTCATTACAGTTGACGAATAAACAGACTGAACTTATCCAGAAGGATATGGATATTACCCTGGTCAGGCAAGTATATTCAGTTTTTAATTTAACATTATAGAAATGTCATTAGTTATTGAGAATGGTAGCATTTCTGTTTATTGTTAATACCACAAAATTACAAAAATATGTCTTCTGTGGGTACATATGTTTGTGCACTGACACTATCTGAAATTATATACACCAAACTGGGAATATTTGTTGGGGAGAATGAGCAGTTTCATAGGATTTGCAAAAGCATGCTCCAAGAGTAGCCTTGTTTCAGTTTTTAAATAAAAAAAAACACAATCATTTATTTTCTTTAAAAATTCCTAGCCATATATAATATAATTATTGTTACAATGAAAAATAATGATAAACCCATTTTTTATTTTTATTACATTCTAAATAGTTTTAGTTTGTGAAATATTAATTCTGTATCAAAATAGTTAATTTTATAGTACTAAGCATAAAGTAGGATTACTTGAAAAACTTGTGTTTTTAAGCATTTTGAAAGATTTTAAACTACCTATTAATTTAATTCATAATTACCTTTATCATAAAATAGTGTTAAAGTATAAACATATAAATATATATATACACATATACAAATATGTCATGTATATATACACATGTATGTATGTGTACATTTTTACTTAATTAAAATAAAATCATACAAAGTTTATCATATCTCTGGTGCTACCACTATATAAAGTATGTATATAACACACTTATATACATACTAGAGGCCTGGTGCACAAAAATTTGTGCATTCGGGGAGGAGAGGCGGGGCCCCTCAGTCCGGCCTGTGCCCTCTCGCAGTCTGGGACCCCTCGGGAGATAACGACCTACTGGCTTAGGCCTGCTCCCAGGTGGCAGAGGGCAGGCCCAATCCCTAGGTGCAGCCCCTGGTTGGGCTCAGAGCAGGGCCGATTGGGGAGTTGGGGTGCCGCCCCCTGTCACACTCAAGGCAGGGTTGATGGGGAGGTTGCGGTGCCACCCCCTGTCACGCACAGAGCAGGGTTGATCAGGGGATTGGGGCGCTGCCCCCTGTCACACACAGAGTAGGGCCGATAGCGGAGTTGGGGCACCACCCTCTATCACCCACAGAGCAGGGCCGATCAGGTGGTTGGAGCGCCGCCACTGTCACACTCAGGGCAGGGCTGATGGGGAGGTTATGGCTCTAACCCATCACACACAGAGCAGAGCACCTGGCGGGGGGGTTGGAGCGCCACACCCTGTCACACACAGAGCAAGGCTGTTCAGGGGGTTGGGACGCCACATCCTGTCACACACAGAGCCGCAGGGCGATCAGGGGGTTGGGGAGCTCCCCCCTATCAGGCACAGAGCAGGGCTGATCAGGGGGTTTGGGAGCCTTCCCCTGTCATGAAAGAGCAGGGCGGATAGGGAGGTTGTGGCCCCGCCCCCTGTCACACACAGAGCCGCAGGGCGATCAGGGGTTTTGGGTGCTGCCCCCTGTCACGCTGATCCCGGTGCCGGGAGGCCTCGCTGCTCCTCTGATCCGGTGCTGGGAGGCTTCACGGCTCCGCTGATCCCGGTGCTGGGAGACATATTACCCTTTTACTACACAGGATAGAGGCCTGGTGCATGGGTGGGGGCCGGCTGGTTTGCCCTGAAGGGTGTCCTGGATCAGGGTTGGGGTCCCACTGGGGTGCCTGGCCAGCCTGGGTGAGGGGATGATGGCTGTTTGCAACTGGTCACACACCCTTCAGGGCAAACATATAGACAAGAACAGACATATAGATCAATGGAATAGAATAGAGAGCCCAGAAATAGGCCCGAACCAATATGCTCAATTAATATTTGACAAAGGAGGCAAGAACATACAATGGAGCCAAGATAGTCTCTTCAATAAATGGTGTTGGGAAAATTGGACAGATATATGCAAGAAAATAAAACTAGACCACCAACTTACACCATACACAAAAATAAACTCAAAATGGATAAAGAACTTAAATGTACGATGGGAAACCATAAAAATTCTAGAAGAATCCAAAGGCAACAAAATCTCAGACATATGCCAAAGCAATTTCTTCACTGATACAGCTCCTAGGGCACTTGAAACTAAAGAGAAAATGAACAAATGAGACTACATCAAAATAAAAAGCTTCTGCACAGCAAAAGAAACCATCAACAAAACAAGAAAGCCCACTCCGTGGGAAAACATATTTGCCAATGTCATATCTGATAAGGCCCTAATCTCCAAAATTTATAGAGAACTCATACAACTTATCAAAAGGAAGATAAACAATGTAATCAAAAAATGGGCAAAGGATCTAAATAGACACCTTTCAAAAGAGGACATTCAGAAAGCCAAGAGACATATGAAAACATGCTCAAAGTCACTAATTATCCGAGAGATGCAAATCAAAACAACAATGAGGTATCATCTCACACCTGTCAGGCTGGCCCTCATCAACAAATCAACAAGCAATAAGTGTTGGAGAGGATGTGGAGAAAAAGGAACACTCGTGCACTGCTGGTGGGAATGCAGACTGGTGCAGCCACTATGGAAGACAGTATGGAGCTTCCTCAAAAAACTAAAAATGGAACTCCCATTTGACCCTGTGATCCCACTTCTAAGAATATATCCCAAGAAACCAGAAATACCAATCAGAAAGGATATATGCACCCCTATGTTCATAGCAGCACAATTCACCATAGCTAAGGTCTGGAAACAGCCTAAGTGCCCATCAGTAGATGAATGGATTAGAAAACTGTGGTACATCTACACGATGGAATACTATGCTGCTGTAAAAAAGAAGGAACTCTTACCATTTGCAACGGCATAGATAGAACTGGAGAGCATTATGCTACGTGAAGTAAGACAGTCAATGAAGGAAAAATACCACATGATCACACTCATTCATGGACAATAAGGACCATTATAAACTTATGAACAATAATAGATACAGAGGCAGAGCTGCCTCAAACAGATTGTCAAACTGCAGTGGGAAGGCCGGGGAGGTTTGGGGGCAGGAAGGGGGGTAAGAGATCAACTGAAGGACTTGTATGCATGCATATAAGCATAACCAATGGACATAAGACACTAGGGGGCAGGTGAGGCCAGGGGATTCTCAAGGGCGGGGGAAAAAAAAGGACACGTATGTAATACCCTTTGTAATACTATAAGCAATCCTATCTAATAAAAGAGAAACATGGTAATTAGTGTATGACCGCTACCCTTCCCATTGGCTAATCAGGGAAATATGCAAATTAACTGCCAGCCAAGATGGTGTTGGCAGCCAGGCAGCTTGAAACTAACATGAGGCTTGCTTGCTTCAGTGACGGAGGACTCCAATGTTCCCCGCCTGCCACTGCAGGCCTCTGAGCTGCAACTCTAAGCAACTATGTTACAAATATAGAAGCTAAACAAAACCCCAGAAACCTGCTTTAGTCCGCCGGGCTTCAGCCAGCAGGATCGCAACATTGTTTCAAATACAGAAGGTAAACAAAGGCCAGAAACCTGCTTTCAGCAGCGGAGGCCTACGAGCTGGAGCCAAGCCTCAAAGCTAAAGCTGGCCCAGAATAAAAAAGAAAAAAAAAGAAAAAAAGCAGTGGTTGGGAGATTCAGTCACCCGCCAGCCTGAAAACAGCCCTCAGCCCCTCACCCAGACTGGCCAGGCACCCCAGTGGGGACCCCACCCTGAAGGGTGTGTAACCAGCTGCAAACAGCCATCATCCCCCCACCCAGGCTGGCCAGACACCCCAGTGGGGCTCCAACCCTGATCCAGGACACCCTTCAGGGCAAACCAGCCGGCACCCACCCATGCACCAGGCCTCTATCCTATATAGTAAAAGAGTAATATGTCTCCCAGCACCGGGATCAGCGGAGCCACGAGGCCTCCCGGCACCGGGATCAGTGTGACACGGGGCAGCGCCCAAACCTCCTGATTGCCCTGTGGCTCTGTGTGTGACAGGGGGCGGGGCCACAACCTCCCTATCTGCCCTGCTTTGTTCGTGACAGTGGGCAGTGCCCCAACCCCCTGATCGGCCCTGCTCTGTGGGTGATAGAGGGTGGCACCCCAACCCCCACCCCACGGGCCCTGCTCTGTGTGTGATGGGGTAGAGCCATAACCTCCCCATTGGCCCTGCCCTGAGTGTGACAGTGGCAGCGCCCCAACCCCTGATCCGCCCTGCTCTGTGTGTGACAGGGGGTGGCGCCGCAACCTCCCCATCGACCCTGCCTTGAGTGTGACAGGGGGCGGTGCCCCAACCCCCAAATCGGCCCTACCCTGAGTGTGACTGAGGGTGGCATCACAACCTCCCAATCCTCCCTGCTCTGAGCATGACAGGAGCGGCACCCCAACTCCCCAATCGGCCCTGCTCTGAGCCCGACCAGGGGCTGCACCTAGGGATTGGGCCTGCCCTCAGCCACCCGGGAGCAGGCCTAAGCCAGCAGGTCGTTATCTCCCGAGGGGTCCCAGACTGCGAGAGGGCACAGACCGGGCTGAGGCACCCCCCCTCCCCCCGAGTGCACAAATTTTTGTGCACCGGGCCTCTAGTAAAACAATAAAAAAAAATTATGAAAAAAAAAGCAAAGTAAGCCAGTCAGAGAAAATTAAATATCATATGATCTCACTCATATGTGGAATCTAAGGAACAACATAAACTAATGAACAAAAATAGACCCAGAGTCATGGAGACATCTATCAGACTATCAAACCTCAGAGGAATGTAGGGAAAGGTGGAAGGGTGGAGAGATCAACCATTGAACTTATGTATGCATGTACATAACCCATGGACACAGACAGTAGGGTGGTGAGGGCTTGTGGAGAAGGGGGATTGGAGAAGGCAATGGGGGAAAAAGGGACATATATAATACTTTCAACAATAAAGATTTATTTTTTTTTAAATTTCTTTATTGGTTAAGGTATTACAAATGTGTCCTCATTTCCCATTAACCCCCAATCTCCCCACCCCTTCCCCACTCATGCTCTCATCCCCCTGTTTTCTGTGTCCATTGGTTTGGCTTATATGCATGCATACAAGTCCTTTGGTTGATCTATCCTCCTTACCCCCTCCCT